CAGATTATTTTCATCCTACAGATCAATGCTACACAGGTGACCTGAGTCCTGTGAACCACATTAACCTTCTCCACTAACTCACTTTTCCTTAGGGCCAGAGGGCTGTGCCCTAACTTTAGCTTATCGTGTCCATATCATCTTTATCTGGACAAAAAAGCATGTTCATGATGCTGATGTTATCTTTTTACTAAACACACCAGAGACAGATCCTTCAAGCTTATGAAGCACAGGGATGTCTAAGAATATCACTTGCCTGAAGTCCTAGACCTTTATGGTCTAATACACTGATCTTCAAACAGCTTTCCCTTTACTCTCTTCTCAAGTACTTGCATTTGCAAATTGATAACATTTCTTTCCTGTTTGCTCATTAGTGGGTACTGTTCTCCCCAGTGCCCCAGTATCAAAGATTTTGCTGACCTGTCACTTATTTGAAGGCCCTTTAGGAAAAAGATCACATTTTTTAAAAAATAATCCTGGATTTTTCACAAACCTCTTTCACTGTGGATCTTTCCCCTCTCTCATTCTCTTTGTACCCATTTTATTTAGCAGAGGATTGCATTCTGTCAGTGTTTGCTGCCTCTGGAACAAACATTTTGGCTATGGATGTCTCCTGTGTTTTTCCATCTCTTTGGCTCCCATTTCACATCATGACTGCTTAAAACATCTACCCTTTCCTTTTCATATATTTCTCAGTTTTTCTTCAAGTTGCACTGCCTTATGCACTGGCCCAGCAAATTTCTGTGCTGGATGAACCTAATAAAAAGGTTCCTTCAAAGGCTACTGTTTTCAGGTTACTGAAACTGCCCATTAAGCAAAAAAAGTTCACAACATTTACCTCAGAAGGGCTCTAAATCTGACATATTCAGGTAATTTGCATTACATGATCCATATGAGATCCCATGGTAATTTAGTTGGTCAAGTGGCTGAATATAACTCTACCACCCTGCAGTCAACGCTGGGGCTTTGGGGTTTTTGCTGTTGGAAGCCTTCAAAGGTGGCACAACTATACCAAGCTCCTGGTCTTTTCACATCAGAGACAACTCAGCAAGATTTCTGCTGGCTGAGTCATTGGAAAAAGTTCTTACAAGCCTCCAAAAGTTTATTTTAGAGCATCAGGACCAACTGCATCACAGTGGGATGAGAAATGGAAGCCTACTTTCACATCTAGTATTTAATTTGAAATAATTACATTATCTAACATTTTTTTTTTTTTTTAAAATGGGGACATGGGTTTCAATGAGGAATTCATGCTCTGAACTGAAGGAAAGTCTTATGGTATTGTGTTGTGCTGCTCTATCACTCCCATGACAAATAGTGTGGATCTGTTAGCGACCTACATGGACTCATTTAGATGCAAACACAACAGTAATCCTGAAAAGCTGCCCTGCTTTGAGGAAGAACAAGTTCTAAATATTGCTGAATGGAATTCAGTCTCAGAGCAGTAATTACTGATTGTAATTTTGAAGTAAATGCAGTAATTAATTATTGTCATTTTCCATCACTGCATTATATTGTGTGCCAATCTTAGAATAACTACAATAATTAGTAAATGGGATTTGTATGCTCTGGTATCGAAACTGTGGTTTATAGAACAGACATGAGAATTTTAACATAATAAAGTTATTAGTAATTTAAATGGGCAGACAGGTTAAAAATGATCTGACAGAAAATAAAGTAATTTCCTTCTCAGTTTTGCAAACACCTTCAGTAGTTCTGTTTTAGTTTCTCCCGCTAACATTCACTTCCATTCTCTCATGTATGAGCACAACAGTGCAAAGTTGGGGTAACAAACACAGTGAGGGACGTTTAATTTACTCACAGTTGTCAGGAGAAATTAAAAGTAAAAGTAATCCAAAGGAAAAAAATAAATATTGGTGGAGCTGATGTTTTTCCAGTACCTAATCACTCTTTCCCAAATGAAGCTGTGAGGATTTTGTTCTCACTTTGTTCACTCATATTAAATCTTGAGCTGGAGTACTGTTTTCATGTAATTATACTAGTGCAAATTTCCATAATGCAAGCAAGTCCTAAATGATCTAAGTGATGATTAAAGGAGGGAAATGACAATAATCTGTGCAGGAGGAAGAGAAATTGGTTAGCATGATTGTAGGAGGTATAACTACAAGAAATAGGATCAGATCCTGATAAAGGATATTTAGTCTGAACCTCAATATGAACCGCCTAATAGACAACAGTGAGATCAATGCAACTTCAGAGTAGTCTCTCACTGGATGCAATACAAACCTGCCTGAGATGCACAAACAACCAAAAATTCAGTGAAAAATACAGGTGTATTAGACTTTGCATTGAAGCAACCAGAAGTGATAAGCGACAGAAATTTTCCATCCATGTATTTTTGTGTATGGGCATTCCGAATTTTGTTTGCTTGTTCTATTTTTGGCTGATAATGCGGGCTTACTTTAAAATAAGGTGTTTCATTTTTTTTTCTCTTATCAGAGCACAGAAAAAGGAAAATTCACAATCTTCCAATTTGGTGACCTATTCATTCCAATGGAAAAAAAAGAAAAAACTTCCTCTGGGAAAAAAAATATTACCTATACCAGCCAGCTGCAAAAACAAACATCTCACGCCTTCTACAAAAAACCACACATCAGCACATGTTCAAGAAGCTGTGAAGGAGGTCCTGAGCACTTTTTTTTTGTATCTGAGCTTTGGCCTATGTTATTTCCCCTGGCATTTTGGATAAGCAGGTTGCCTGGACAATGCATTCTTTTAATGATTTGCCACTACTCTTAGGAGCACAGCTGGAAAATACTCTTATTGTTGACTATTTTTTTCCATTTTTCTGCTTCACTTTCACCTCACTCAGTTTGTCTCATTCACACTCACTTTGTGTCACTCAGTTTCATGCCAGTCAGTGCTCCACGTTAGTCCCACCCAAACATCTCTCCATCTTTAGCATTAAATAAAAGTTCAGCAGCAAAGTATCTATCTGAGGTGGTAAATAACACTTTGCTAATAATCAATCACTGATATGAAGCCACAGAAGGGGAATGGACAGGATTTTCACTGTTGTTCTGTCCAGTGTCTTTTATTCATGTATCATCTGGATGCTTCTGTGCTGCTCTGTTAAGTCCTTAGTTCTGGAAGAGCTGTGAATTATGGTGTTTTCTAGGCACTATTGTCCTATCATGGCTACTACTGTCATAGCATGGATGGGGCACTGGGGAATGACCTTCAGGACCTAATGTGGAGGGCTGAAATCTCACTGGTCAATTCTGCTCCACAGGGAGAGTCAGAGGAAGTGGTATGTTTGCCTGTCCCAGCAGTCGTCCATGGTGCTGGCAATGCAGAGGGCTCACACACACCCACAGGCAGTGCAGGATGCACCTGGTACTTTGCCATATCTCTGGGTAATTAAGGGCTCATAGGAATGGCCACCCAAGGGAGCTATGGATTTTGGGTGTCTTTTTCTTCATTATTTTGTGCATTTACTATCTGAAAGACATATTAAGTGCCTCCAGATCCTTACTTCCTACTCCTAAGAGGGGATTTGTAGTAGAATGTATTGATTTTGGCAGAGTTGCCTCAACTGATCCTCCTCTCTTACTTTCTTACTTCTGCTTTCTCCCTTCTCCTTTTTTTTTTTTTTTTTTTTTTTTTTTTTTTTTCTACAAGCACTTTTTTAATTATAGAGAAAAAAGAGAACATAGGCAGCCTTCTTGGAAACATTTTGCCATCTGAATTCTTCAGGGCTTTGCTTGCCACAGCTTGTGGGTTTATCTGCCACATCACAGAGACCATTTCAGTGTTTGACAACAACTTTAGAGTACTTGCAAGGAAAACAAAGTACTTCAAATCACTGTGGCCTAGACTGCTTGTGTTTCAAAAGGGAGATTTATAAGTTAAAAAAAAAGTGTATCCAGAATTAAAATTGAGTGAAAAACTTTTTTTCTTGGTTAGGAAAAAATGCTCTAGTGGATTACATCAAACTGCATACTGTTTGTGGTTTTTGTTGGCAGCTACTTATTTTTGGAAAGGAGTTCAATAAAACAAAGCTCTTCCTTAGAAAAATCCCAATTAAAAAGTTTTTTGAGCATCCTCTTGAAGCACACGAGTAATTGCCCTGATGCGAATATGGTTATGCACATGCTTCAAATTGGAATTAAGGACCCTGAAGAGCTGTGACTAAAGTAAAACTAGACATACAGGAGTTACTGTGTTTCTGCCAGTTAAGGGAGCTGCCTGCTCTCAAGCTTTGCAATAGCTATCCGTGCCGTACCCATAGGCCTAGGTGGCTTCTGTTCTAGTGTTTTTAGGAAAATTCTTGTTGCAGTAATGTCACTGTCTACTGAGTGGGCAGGTCAGTGGTATTTTGGAGGCTGACTGAAAGTTGCACATCAAACCAGACATGGGAGTACAATAACACTGTGCTGAGCCAAGAACAACTGACCTATCTCTAAGTAAGCCATGTTACCAAGGGCTTGTGGTGTGCTGATTGCTATTGCACAGGCCTGGCAGGAACTTGACTTGTGGCCATCATGACTGAAAATCCTTTGTCTTCTTCTAGGGGGATGGCATGGATGTTTCTGAGCACTAGAAATCAGATGAGTTGAAGAACTGGATCTAAACCGTTCCAAGCTTCTGGATACCCTTGCTGTCACCAAGTGTCCTCTCCAGTCTAACCTGGCATGGTATTCCCTGTGCTAAATCAGATCCTTCCCTGGGATATGCTCCTTCAGTGTCCTCCCGGGGCCACATACACATGGCCAATTCCTTTTGTTAGGTGCAAAAAAGCACAGACAATTTTTTTTCCTGTCAGACTGCTAAAAGACACATTCATCCTGCAATGGTCTCACCAAGGTGGGAGTCTACTAGAGAATAAGGACTTCTAAAAGACATTTACTCCACTTTGATAGGGACTGTCCTTACTTCTAATAAAGGTTCCTTTAAGAAGAGGATGGAAGCAATCTGGCGGTAACAACTGAACTGATTTTGCCAGACAGCAAAGCATTAAAATCAGAATAAACCCCAGGAACTCTAAAGGACTTCCTATTTAAAGATGGCAATTCAACACTGTTCTCCTGCTTTGCAGAAGCAAAGGAAAGAAATAAAAAATGCTCTAAGACACAGATACGGATTTTTTTTTTTTTTGTCATTTTACCAGCTGATTCCTTTGTATATAATTTATTGGGGAAAAAAACCCCAAACAACAAATCTGAGTCCTACTAATGAGTAATCTTCTTATAGAAAATGAGCTGAGACCTCAACATCAGCCTGATCATGAAAAGGTAGAGTCAGAGCACTTAATAATGATCCACGATAATGAAAAGACCAGTGAATCTTAAAATCACAGGTGTTTACAGCCCTGCTTTTACTTACATGACTATAAGAAACAAGGGTATCCTGAGGGATCACAGCTATGCTATGATATAAAGCTATTGAGCTACTGCTTGGTGCCAGACTAGGGAGACATGCGTTCCTCAATCCCTTTACAGGTGCTATTGAGAATCTCACCAACAAAGGCCATCCTTGCTTTAACACAATTGCATGCATGCACTTCCCACTCTCCCCCAGCAAAACTTGCAGTAAAAAAGCCAGTGTGATGAAGCAAAAAGCATTTGGATATGGAAACATATTTTGGTTTCAACCTTCCAAGGGGCCTTGTCATAAGCAAGGAAAAGAAAAGAGGTATCTGAAGAGGGAAAATGCATTAACAGCTACCTTCCTATAGTCATACACAAAAGAGAGTCTAAACTATGGAAGCTGTATCTAGCACATGCAGCTAATATGCCTATTGGAAGGTTTCTAAATTCACTTCATCCTGTCTTCAGTGCAGCACCTCTTTCAAAGTCATTTTAATCCCATTCTATAATTCTCAGTGGAAAAGATACTGCTCTGAAGACCAGAACAATAAATTTTTCAAAGATATTAGCGATATCAGTGACAAATTAGAACACTTCATAGTTCTTTGAGAAAGTTGAAAATAGGAATTTCTTGCCTGCACCTTGCTTAGGTGGGTCAAAAAAGGCCTGAATCAAAATCACTGAATCTTGGACATTATGGTTAAAATGGCCTAGAAAGGTCATCTAACCCATCTCTCTGTCACTAAGTTGGGAGTGCAAACTGCCTGTTGCAGCTTAGGGCCACCCTGGGTGATGGGTTTCTTGGGAAATCTCTGTTGTGAAACGGTTTAAAAACCAGGGAGACTTCCTGTCTCTGTAGCAAACACATACAGTTTTATATTTCCATTTGTCAAAGAACTATCTAATGGAAAATCCAGCCAGTGATGGAAAATATTTCCATTTTTGGAAACATCTCCATTTTTGTTACTGGTGATAGGCTGGGATTCCAGTGAAACAAGCTGCATTTTATAACATTTTCCACACTGTTACACATATCAGAAGTTCCCTTGGAGCATTAAGCTGTCTCCTTCCCAGACAACATGAAGTATATGAGTCTAACAATGAGACCTTTGTTAAGATTTGTTTAGGTCCTCACTCAAGAAGAGCTTCCTTGATGTTGGTTGGGTTTTATCTACACACAGAAGTTAACAGTAACAGAGCAAGAAGTGAGCATGGATCCTTCTATTAATTTCTTGGGATTGGGAAGAAAGAAATTAATGGTTATTTAGTTATCAGGGAGACATATTTACATAAAGTTATTATGCTGGGATGAAATTGGATACAGACTATACCGCATGAAGAATGAAGAATGTTTTGAAACATTTGCAAGACAGAGTTATTGAGACAGACACTGTCCCAGTCCAATCACCTGGGATTAAACTGCAGCCCCGTCCCATCTCTTAATTGCAGATTTTCTTCAGCCACCAGAAATGCTGTCTTTGGCTGAACAAGGGTAATCAGGACAGCTGCTGGCTCTCCTCTAGTGACCAGGAAGACTTTCTAGAGATGCAGGATGCCCCTGTGGTGGGGAACTTGGTTCATCCCTCGTTAAGCATCCTTCCACCTCTTTTTCTAAAGAGACACACACACAAACAGTTCTTGGTTTATGTGTGGGTGCATATTTGTGCAGTGGGGCTCTAGCCAGAAGCCTAAATGAAAAAGGCAGAAGCTAGAGAGTCGCAGAGCTGAATCTTTTTGAGGGTCTACAACACAAAGAGAGACTACAACCACAGCTGACAACCCCTTCCCCATGCAGTTACCTGTGCTAGTGCTTTGTATCCAGTGGTTCCCACAACTCTTCAGTAGGGACGATTAGCATCCTTTGGCCTCTTCAGCTGCACCTTCAGCCTCTTCATGCCAATCTGGAAGCCATTCATAGCCTGGATAGCAGCTTGGGCACTGGCAGGATTGTCAAAACTCACAAAACCTGTCAAAACATGAGGCAAGGCAGTTGGCTTAACAAGCTGAAGGGAGCCAAGGTATGTACATGCAACGACCACTGAGAATGGACATGGGGAAAGGGATGAGGGCAGTGGGAGGGAGGGAGTGAGCAGGTAGGGGTGTAGGCAGGTGGGCAGGAGAGTGTGGATAGGATGGTTGCCAATGGGGAATGAAGGGTAGGAGGAGTTGTTACAGGTCAATGTCCCAGGACACAGTGCCTGGTCTGAGTGCCAGTTTGGATACAAGATTATGTGAAGCATGGGGTTCCAAATATTGGTGCCACAGTACCAGCACATACAAGATTTGGGTCACTGTTGAGGTGGGTGTCAGCAGAGGTGATGCATGGTCTCAAGGCACTGTCTTGCTCTCTTTCCTTCCATCATGACTGGGGTAAATCTCTAGGCCTTCCTTCACACACCAGCATAGCCTTTACTTTTCCTTCCAATATTCACAATTAAGGGAACCTGATATACCTACTGCTACTTCCTTCTTATGACAATATAAATAAAATGTGAATTTAATAAGTTCTCCATTAGGCTATTCACTGGCATGAATAGTTTGATTATTGACCACTTAAGCAATATAAGGGGCTTTATTAACTGGCAGTTTTTGCAGACTTTATGTTGACTCTGCAACTGAGAAAGATGAACACTTGTGCCTTCCTAACATGGTTTCCATAAGTAGTTTTGTACCTTGTCAGCAAATCATCCAATGAGCCATGGACCACATCTAGCAATAGAAACACCCATAGTGACTGAATATTGTATCTACAGGCCATCTAAAATGTCATTCTTTGTCTCAATTAAAGACTTGTTCTCTAGGGATCAGAAGAGCCAGGATAGGTCAGAATCATACAGGATGCATCTAACACATTCAGATTTGGGGAGGGTTTTTGGTGTGGGTTTATTTTTTTTTCCTTCACTTTTTTTTTTTTTTTTTTTTTTTTTTTTTTTTTTTTTTTTTTTTTTTGCAATAATGTTAGCTCCAGGAAAAGGCCTCATTTGCCCAGACTGCATATGACTATAGCTGGAGAGACTGTAGGTGTGAGGTATTAGTGAGGCGGGGGAAAACACAGACTCACATCACAGAGATACCTCTGCTACCTTTGCCAGAAATGTCCCTGTGTGACAACAATATTTCTGAGCACAAACCCTGGGTAAGACTATCCTGGACCAGCCTGCACTCCAGACAAAGCCATCTGTTTTCCCACCCTTGCAAAGCTCTGGCAGCATGAATCAACCCTAGGAACCCAGTGTCTCTCAATAGACAGTCTGAAATGAAGAGACAGTGTGAGAGCCCCTCAAAAAACTGATGCTGAGCATTTTCTGCCAGGTATACACCTGTCCCTGACAACAGTACCAGTCAGGGCTTACAGCCTTAGGCTGTACTGTGAATGCATTCAGCAACACCTCTTCCCTAGTCTAGTTTCTCCTTGAAAACAAGTCTCACAGATGACACAGAGTGGCTTGCAGTTGAAAAGAACACGCACACACATGCATGCAAGCACACATTCTCACCCTTGCATTGAAGTTGAACTCCCTGCCTTTGGATAATAACGTAAGTTTATGACAGGTCATAAAGCTCATGGTCTTAGCTTCAAGGTGAGACAACAGGTTTATTGAGTATGACATATGTGTTTTTAAGAGGGAGTCCCATTGAATAAACAGGCATCTCTCTTTGTCCTCCCCTCTTGAGTTCAAAGCTCCAAGTAACTGGCTCTCCATGCAGTTTTGCTGCCATCCACCTGGATGAGGAGGTATAAAGACTGCACCCCTGAAGATACAAGCAAAAATGTTGATCAAACCTCACAGCAGTCATCAATCTCTAGACAGAAATCTGGGGAATTACAGTGAGTAATGGGGTATTATTCAATGTCAATGGATCTACTTTTGCAATCTGTTTTTAGCCAGTAAGCACCTGGTAATGTTCCCAGTTTACATTTGACTAGCTGAATAACCTATCAGTCAACAAGGTCTTATGATTTGATCTCAGCAAAAGAACAAGCTAAACTCCTGATGTCAGCTGAGTTGCTTCAGTCTTTAAAAGTTGCTGGAAGCTCCCTTGGAAATGTTCTACTTGAGCTACAGCTTGAACTTTGTTGTCTAGCTACCTCACATCTTTGAATATAATATGTAGTGAAAGCCAGTTCTCTTTAAAAGTCACCTCTGGATTGCTAATACTCCATCCAAGAACCATCAGTTACATCTATAACAGTAAACTAAAACTGTGCCAGGGAAGTTCAGAGAAACTGGAACCCAATGATCTGTACCACTGAATTTTTAGAAAGATCCTTGACATAGTTTTGGCTTGTGCCTAACTCCAAACAATTCCTGAACAAATTCTAAATAGTAGCACAGAGCAGAGGCTCTTTTCAGTAGTTAGCTTGGATGTGGCCATAATATTCTGGAAAATAAGAGAATTTAATAGTTTGGGTGTGGGCCATTCTGTGCCAGCTGGCTCCAGTGCTAGGGGAAAGTGCCAGGTATATTTACTTTACTTATATAGACAAAGCTACCAAATATCAAAGCTGAGTTGGCTGCAGCTGGATAATTAGTTATACTATGTCTTTAGAGAACCTAGCTTGCTGGGAACTTTGCTTGCTACTCTTGTCACTGGTCCTGTTGCAAGGTACCTCTGACTGAATAAACATGCATATCTAGAGTGTGTCTACACATGCACCTATCTGTGAGCAAATCACCTTGGGAACCTAAAATAATTAGTGGAGGTCTAGTCAATATAGTCAGTGGAGTGTAGGACACAATTTCTTTCTATTTTCAAGATACTCCTATCTGTGCTCAAATGAATCAAGTCCCACTCACCATGCAGCAAGAACCATTGCTGACTGCAATGAAGGCAGGCACCTTAAAACAGGGTACCTCTATTGTGGAATTTACCTTGATCCATACTTGGGACTGACATCTCAAGGTAAGATGTTGTTAACTGTCTCGTGACTGGAATTCACTCATCAGTGTGATGTTAATTGTTGAATCATACTCCTAATGCATACAAACCCTACCAGAAATGCTGTCAAGTGTTATGGAAGTCTACTATTTCATAGAATCATAGAATGGTTTGAGTTGGAAGGGACCTTAAAGTTCATCTAGTTCCAACCCTCCTGCTAGGGACACCTTCCACTAGACCAGGTTGCTCAAAGACCCATCCAACTTGGCCTTAAACACTTCCAGGGAGGGGGCAGCCACAGCTTCTCTGGACACCCTGTGCCAGTGCCTCATCACCCTCTCAGTAAAGAATTTCTTCCTTATGTTTAAGCTAAATCTACCCTCTTTCAGTTTAAAACCTTTACCCCTCATCCTATCATTAAACTCCCTGATAAAGTGTCCCTCCCCATTTTTCCTGTAGCCCCTTTTAAGTACTGGAAGGCCACTATAAGGTCTCCTTGGAGCCTTCTCTTTTCCAGGCTGAACAACCTCAACTCTCTCAGCCTGTTCTCATAGGGGAGGTGCTCCAGCCACCTGGTCATCTTTGTGGCCTCCTCTGGACCTGCTTGAGCAGGTGTGTGTCCTCTTTATGTTGGAGCCCCCAGACCTGGACATAGTACTCCAGATCGGGTCTCACAAGAGTGGAGTAGAGGGAAAGAATCCCCTCCCTCGACCTGCTGGCCACGCTTCTCTTAATGCAGACCAAGATCTGGTTGGTTTTCTGGGCTGCAAGTGCACATTACTGGCTCATAGTTTTCCATCCACTAACATCCCCAAGTCCTTCTCTGCAGGGCTGCTCTCAATCCACTTATCTCCCAGCCCGTATCTGTGTTTGGCATTGTCTTGACCCATGTGCAGAACCTTGCACTTGGCCTTGTTAAGCTTCATGAAGTTTGCACAGACCTGTCCAGGTCCCTCTGGATGGCATTCCTTCCCTCCAGCATGTCAACCGCACCACACAGCTTGGTGTCATGGGTGAACTTGCTGAGTGTACTCAATACCATTGTCTGTATCACCAACAAAGATGTTAAACAACTCTGGTCTCAATAGTGAGTTCCTGAGGAACACCACTCATCACTGCTCTTCAATTAGACATCAAGCCATTGACCTCAACTCTTTGACTATGACCATCCGGCCAATTCCTTATCCATTGAGTGGTACATCTGTCAAATCCATACCTCTCCAATGTCATGCTTTTCACAGTCCAGGTAGATGATGTCAGTTGCTCTTCCCTTAACTATTAACATTGTAACCCCGTCATAGAAGGCCACAAAATTTGTCAGGTATTATTTTCCCTTAGCGAAGCCAAGTTGTCAGTCATGAATCACCTTCTTATTTTCCATGTGCCTCAGCATAGTTTCCAGGAGAATCTGCTCCATCATCTTGCCAGGTACAGGGTTGGGACTGACTGGCCTGCAGTTCCCTGGGTTTTCCTGTTTTCCCTTTTAAAAATGGGATTTATGTTTCCCCTTTTCCAGTCAGAGGGAACTTCTCAGGTCTGCCACAACTTCTCTAATATGATGGATAGTGGCTTACCCACTTCATCTGCCAGTTCCCTCAGGATCTGCAGATGCATCTCATCAGGTCCCATGGACTTGTGCACCTTCAGATTCCTTAGATTGTCTCAAACCTGATCTTCTGATACAGTGGGCAGGTCTTCATTTTCCAAGTCCCTGATTTTGCCTTCTACAACTTAAGTGATGTGGCTGGAGCACTTGTTGGTGAAGACTGAGGCAAAAAAGTCACTGAGTACCTCAGCCTTCTCTATATCCTAGGTAACCAGGTCTACTTTTGCCAAGGCTAGGTCTTTAGTTGGGTGATAAGCCCTGGTGTTGGGATGCTAATACAGTTGTATGTCTGCAAGAATCTTGATTTTAGATAAGCTCACAAAGCTACACTAGTTTTTATCATAATTTTGCTTTTGAGATGGAATACTAAGGCTATTTCCTCATTCTGTGAAAAGCTGTAAATAATACAACATTTTAAAAAATGAGACTAATAAGAGAGATCATAATTGCATTTGCTCACTATATTTCATTTAGACCAG